CATTTATCAGCCTCAGAAGGAAGAAAGGCCAGTATTCCGACCTGGGATCGAACTCGGAATCTCTCGGTTCTGAATCCGATGCTCTTCCGGCTGAACAACTCCAGTCAATGACATAGACTGCGAAGTTGAATTACGACGAATGACCGCAGTCTGTATAATATGACTTAAACATGTCCCAAGCTGCGTTTTAAAACATCGGTAAAATCACTTCCGCTTTGGCATTAGTCTTTGGTTGTTGCTAGTGGTTGTATAGCGTTTCTCTTGCAAGCTGATGTAGTAGTGAACAATGGCTTTAAAAATTCAGTTTTAAAGTTTTAGTTTTGCAGCTCCGTTTGCCGCATATTTCGTGTTATTGCTATAAGCTTGGCATCTTACAGTCTGCTTTGGGAGCGGTCGAAATATTCGTGGACGTTTGTTGCCGGTTCTCTTTTGAGTTGCGGTCGCTTACTATTGAACCCAGAGGAACGAGGCAAGCGCATCGCCGCGTGTTTCAAGTTCTCGGACCCTTCTTTTTGCAAGGCGTTCTGGGAACTGTTGGAAACTCCCCTGCTCAAGGTATACTTACTTATTTTAATTAGGTGGTATTTGTCTGCTAGCAGCGTTTTTTAAATTAAACGCATTTTTTATTTTCTAGCATATTCCAAGTTTTTTTGGTCCCGCGCTTCATATTAACGAAATATATTTTATTCCCGGCGATGGCTGTATTTTCCTGGAAAATTCTTCTGGCTCGAAAGTTGAAATCCTGGCTCCGGAAGCGTACACAGGGAAGAGACCATTGCCTGTCAGAATACTTTCGTCGCGTCAGTTCGACGGACTGGTAAGCATTCAGCAAAACAGTTAAAGCTGAGTTTTTTAAAACATCGCCAGGTTTTATGAAATGATAACTGTCGCTCTTGAGAACCAGGTGTTTAAAGCCTGTCTTATTACTACTATCGGAAAGTTTCTTGAGAAAGGATGAAAAAGGAGTAATGTTAACTTCTCGAATTTATTTATCGTTTCGTAACAGTCTAGACGTAATTCCGTATTATTCATCTTTGAAAACTGAAAAATCCGTACAGATGGTTTATTTATATACAACGCAAGCGAATAAGTTGGTCATTTAACATTTACTCTACCTTCGGCTTCAGACGCCAAAGCAGATGCGGACTACACAATGAACTACAGAAACCAACCCGGACCACCCTGAGAAGGCTCGTGAGTGACTAACCGAATCGTCGGTACTGATCAGTCACCCAATTGACCAACTTCTTTGTTTGCATTGTGTATAAATATCTCTTTTTATACATCTTTCAGCTTTCAGTATAAACACCAGTGCACGAACAGTTTATTTAATTTTCGGAAATATCCATATCTATCCAGATTTTAGCTTAACCTGTCATACTTCACATTAATAAACAGCTATTTGCAAGTATACACTGAATTTGAGCAACTTCTGATACTCAGGTCAATACAGTGCTGTGAATACCTGGAAGCTGATATACCTTTCGATCTCTCATTTTTGGTACTTACCATGGGATCAAACAAAGGGTCTACTTCCATGTTGTTAAGCTTTTGCTAAAGTTTTAAATTTCTTAATCTCCACATTTATCGAAATCTCCCGTGCCTGAAAAAAAATGAAGTTATTTCATACGTGGTCATACCCTGTAACCCTCATTAT